AGGTAAGTGATGTGACACCGGCCAGCTTACGTTGTGCTTCATGTAATTCATGTTTAGGCATTCACAGGGTTCCTGCTCAACCCCAGTGAGAAATACAGTTGATCCAAAATCATTTCTTTCATCAGTACCAGTCACATCATATCTCCTGGTGCTGCTTGTAGTTTTCTGGACCTTGTGTGCCTCTTGGGTATCTTCTTTTCCAATCTCTGAGATCACCAGTAAGTAAAAGATCCTTTAGATGGTGCAGCAGGTGACATAATAGGTATGGAATGTGGAGCAGGGCTCTAGCTGACAGGTGAATAGACCTTCTGTAGAGCTTCTCTGAGAAGAGGTCTTCGCCGGGTGGTCCCAGCTGGAGTGCAGCCCCTCTTATGCACTTTAACCCCAGCAGGCACAATCCAGCAGGTTGTGGGTCAGACTGACGGACCTTACGTGACTGACAGGGACAGGACACAGAGGTGTGCTGTGGAAGTGCAGACCTGCTGCAAGGTGGGTGACGGGCAGAACATCTGATACGACTCTTGGTTGTGAGAAGGGTGGAGAGAATAAATTTTTTACGCTGAGGGTGGTGAAACCCCGGCCCAGGTTGCCCAGAGAGGTGGTAGAAGCCCCATCCCTGGAAACATTCCAGGTCAGGCTGGACGGGGCTCTGAGCAACCTGATCTGGTTGAAGATGTCCCTGCTCACTGCAGGGGGGTTGGACTAGGTGACCTTGAAAGGTCCCTTCCCACCCAAACCAGTCTGTGATTCTATGAAGTGCTGCTGCTCATGCCAGTCCCACCACAGCCACAGAACAACTCTATAAACCAGTGGTGAGTCAGGTTCTGTGGGCAACAACAGGCAGAGAAGATCCTAGATAAACCTTTTGTTGGAAACAGGCTGCTGCAGAGCTGCTGTCAAAGTCTGGGGAGCTCTGTTGAAAACACAAGGCTAAAGGCTTCCTCAAACATGGTGACAAGGAATGCTGGTTTACACGAATCCTTGGTGACATCCCATTGTCATGACTATGAAACTGAATAGATGCTTCAAGTTTAATGCATGGCAAGTGCTCACACTAAAGAGGAGTTCTGAGCAGATTTGAAGGGGAGAAGCTTCTTGCTGGATGGTGGCACTCGAAGAGTTGTGGTCAACAGCTCAAT